TGCTTTTAAAGTTGTGGCAACTCTTTGGCAGAATCTCATCTGCCATCATCAGGCTTCTGTATAGTGTTCATCTGTGAGTCAGACTTTTACAGTGGTTTCAGATTTAAATTTGGGGCCGCCTATTGCTGTGCCAGAATGGTTTTTTCTTCACCCTGATTGGTTGGGAGTCTTGGTCTGTGTTTATTGGTCTTGGAGTTTGCTGTGTTCTGCTTGATTGGTGTTTCTAATATCTTCTGTCTGTTTTTTGGCTCTTTTCACAATCAAGATACAAAAAGAGCCAAAAAACAGACAGAAGATATTAGAAGAATTCCCAGTTCCTTGGAAGAGATCAGGTAATTATTACCCTCTTAGATTGTTGAAAGGAATCTTTTAAAAAAGAATTCAATATAACTTTTCTGTCTTCCACACAACCTTTATTGAATGTTTTTTTAAAACTCACTACTGACCCACAGCCAATCAGTAGTGCATTATTCTGTAGGGAAAGATAAGAGGTGTCAGATTGATGCAAACAATTTTATGACACTATTACACGAGATCCATGCATTTTTGCATATGTTACATCATACGCATAACCCCAAACACAATGCTGCAATGTTGTTTTTTCTGATGAAAACCAGGAAAAAATGTGCTGATGTCTGAACAGATCCTTTCATGCTATACCTGCCACCATGCCTAATTCTATTGTAGTTCGCCTTCATTTAATGCCTTTTGATTGTTCATTTAGGAAGTAACATTGAAGCAACCCCAGATATGGTACCACATTTTTGGCCTCCACACCTCATTTCTGGCCTCCATACATCCCGTTTTTGGCCTCCGTGCACCCCGTTTTTGTTTTTCTTATTCAGTCTGACTTTGGATTATGGATTTCCTGTCTGGCCACTCACAGAAGGTCAGATTAGGTAATCATACCTTTTCAGCTCTTATTCTTAACACTGGTACACCACAAGATTGTGTGTTGAGTCCTTAATCTATTCTCTTTATTCGCATGACTGCATTCTCACTCATGCTAGTAATACTATTACTAAATTTGCAGATGATACAATAGTGGTGGGACTGATTTTCAAGTCTGCCTACTGAGATGAGGTGGACCAGTTGTTTTCATGGTGTGGAGACAATAACTTGGTTCTCAATACCAATAAGACCAAGGAGCTTATTATGGACTATAGAAGGAACAGATCAGACATCCAGCCCTTGCTTATCAGTGGAGACCGAACGGAGCAAGTGGCCAGTTTTAAGTTTCTGGGTGTTACCCTAAAAGAGGATCTGGCCTGGGGTGCTCACATTGCAGCACTGGTCAAAAGGGCCCAGCAGAGATTACGCTACCTGAGACTTCACAGAAAACAACAACTGAATGCTGGTGACCTTTTACTGCTGCACCATAGTGAATATCTTAACTTACTGCTGCACCTCTGTATAGTTTGCCAATTGCACAGTGGTAGATAGGACAGTACTCCAGAGGGTTAATGTTATTGCCCGGAAGATCATTGGTTGCCTTCTCCACTCTTTGGAAGAGCTTTATAGCTCCCACTGCCTTAAGAAAGTTCAAAACATTCTCAAAGATCCATCTCACCCTTTTTTAAACTACAGAATATTTAAAACAAGGACAAATAGGCTGAAAAACAACTTCTATCCCAGGGCAGTAGCTCTGTTGAATTCTACTGTATAGTGCAGTGTTGGTGCAGTGTCAGGGGTTTTCAGTTCAATGTGTGGAGGGTGAAGGATGTGTGTTTGTGTTTATTTTCATGGTCATGATGTGCACTGAAGATGGTGTTTGGTTTTGTTGTATGAAGTGCAATGACAATAAACTAAACTAAACTAAACTCCATGTGCGTCACTTTCAGCCCATTCTGATTCCTGCCACTTGGAATGAGCCAAAAATGGGGCATGCAGAGGCCAAAAACAAGATATGGAGGCCGAAAATGGGGTGCATGGAGGTGGCAATAGGAAATAGGAGATGGCAATCCCTGCAGCTTGAAACAGCTGATTGTCGGGAGGCCGATCCAACAACACAATCAGCTCCTTGTGCTAAATCAGGCTGTGCTGAAGCGAACCAGGCTGTTTGCTGTTTGAGGCAAAGAGGCAAACTGCTGGGAGGCAGAAGCTGAAGTGTGGGGGCTGGGGGGGGGGGGCAGGGCTTCAGCAATATTCACTGTATAAGAGGCACCGATATTTCCACCCACTTTGGGGAAGAAATGTGTCTTATACACTGAAAAATATGGTACTTGTGAACTGTTTACTGGTTAAAGAAAAAAAATCTAATAAAAAGCCGTTTTAAACATTAGTAGTAATGCACCAATGGCATTAAGGAACCTGATCTATCATCACTAAGCAGTGAGGCAAGTTTGGCAGAAATCCCTGACAAGCCTTTAAAATGGCTTTTGGGTGTAGATTATTATTTCTTCTTTGTCCAAATGCTGATGGCATTTAGATAATTGTTTTTAGAGTATTATTTTCAGACCTTTAATTTGGGACCCTAATTTGCCTTCCTTAAAAAAAAAAAAGTAATAATTGTATGCTAAGCTGATGAGTATTTTAAACCTATAGTTAAAAATCTGGTTTGCTTTTTTCTGTTCTGCCTTGTGTGAGTTGGTTTCCAATTCATGACATACTTTAATTATATTTTATTATTTGTGATTATTGGATTATGTCTGAATGCTGTCTTGAGATCACTTTCTCCTATAAAGGGGCCTAAAAGACCTCTTCAATAAATAAAAATGCCAGAGTGTGACATAACTGCTAATTATTAATATTGCTTTTGTATGTTGGCATTTTTTGAAATCTCTCCAGAGTTTTTGAGTTGGCTTGTTTTTTTAAATAAATATTTTAATTAAAGTTCTTTTAATTCATTTATTTGGTTTTTATATTTTTAAACAAAATGAAGCCTTATTGATATTCTTTTTTCCCTTGAATTGCTGATAAGGACTGCTTATATATCTTCAATATGTATATACCCTGGTTTCACTTATATGACTGCTTCATTTAAGTTGATCCATACAAAGTTCACTTTTGAGGCAATAGCCTCTTTGTGCATTGGCAAGAAAATATCATACAATAAAATTTCTCAATTAATCATGCCATTAGGTACTGTCCCCATTCTTGTATACCACAGTGGCAAGATTGACACTAAGGAAGACAATTTTTTTTTAAAAAAAAAAATCATTTCTGAATGAAAGGCCTACATAAGATTAACTGGAAAAACAAGAGAACCTATGCTAGTTCTATGAAATTCTATTGGAAAAAAATTCAGTCTATTGATAGCCTTCTAATAAATTAGAAACCCATAATAATACTATTTTGACATTTCTGTTTCTGTCTTAATTATAGTTCTCAACAACCCTTTGAAAACCATAATTAATTCTCACAATAGCAGAAGCAGGGAGCTATTAGGCAACATCATTCTTTTTAATGTGTTGCCTTTGGCCTCAAACAGGGTGTGTGTGTTTAGGATTACAATATTGCAAAAATCCCAATGTCTGACTTTAAAATCAAATTTAATGCCTAGGAACATATCTAAGGAATATCTCTAGCAAGATGGGAGTTTTGTTGCAGCCAGAAACAGTGCTGCTTGCTCGCACATGAAGAAAACATTGAGTGGGAAAAACAATAATGCAAAAGCTCATAAAAATTGGTATACTGGTAATCCTTAGAAGCTTGGCTTGATATTTTTAAAATGTAGGACACAGTTCTGTGAGGGAGAAAAATAATTTCCTTCTCCTCCTCCTCCTCGTCTTATGTGAAATAATAATAAGAAAGTGTAAGCCTTTGAGGCAAGACACCAGAGTTCTCACATTCCTTTAATTTAAAAAAAAAATGGTTTTACAAAAATGGCAATTAAGGTTGACTGACAAGTAAGGCGACAGGGGAGGGAAAGGCCAAAATTTCCATTTCTGTGGGTTTAGGAACAAAAACAAAACAGTACTCAACCTTCAGGTTCTCTAGTTGCAACCGATTAAAGGAAGAGCAATTTAGTAATCATCAAAGAAGGTGTGTAGATGTGTGTGTGTGTGTGCGCGCGCACACACACACACACACACTTCACCAGAATTTCCATAACTGAATGAAGTGGTCACAAAGTGACAGAATGCATTGCTTAGCATGGCAACCCAGGTATTTTCTATTGCCATTGTAAACTGAGATTTATGGGTCATTAAGTGAGTAGCTTAACCATTCCAGACATGGTCCCTCCCAGTCCCAAACCTCATAAGAGACTGCCTCCAATGCCTCCCATCTCTCCTCCATCTCTGCCCTTTTGCTCACCCTGCATCCTGTCATATGGGGCTGGTACTGCTTACCATATCCATGGAAGTTATAGTATTTCAGCCCAGTTCCAACCACAGTTACCCTTGCCACTCTGCATTAGTGAGACACCTGACAAGGGGTCTATGATGTCAGCATATCCAACTTACCATGGCCAACTGACCACAAGCCAACATGGGCAGCTCACTGTGGGACAATTTGCCATGGGTCAAAAGTAATACTAATATCAAAGAAATGGTGGAATAGAATCATTAAAAAAAGAATACAGAAGGGGGGACAAAATGAAACATGAATTAAAATTATTTTTAAATTATTTAAATTAATTAAGTTGAACTGTTGAATTCTCCTGCAGCAAGTTGTCCTGTGGTCAGTTGTCCCTTGGTGAGTTGTAAGTTGGCCAGGGCAAGTTGGCCATGGTGAGTTGGCCTTGGTGAATTGACCATGGTGTGTTGGCCATGGTACATTGTTCCATTCCATCCGGCAAATCATGTCTGGCTTGGCTGCTAGGCTGAGAAAAGGAAGGAGGGAGGGAAGGAAGGAAGGAAGGAAGGAAGGAAGGAAGGAAGGAAGGAAGGA